GGAAAAAAACAGCAACAGAGGGAGAGACGAGCTAGCCGACAAACTTTTAAATGATATTTAATGAAGAAAAAAAAAAACACACAAACAGTGAGAGCCAAATTAGTTTATCCAGCGTTGAGCTCCACTTCAAACCAGCATTTTTCTCCATCTGAAAAATGTCTTCTTTATTAAGAAAAGACACTAAATGAATCCCCCTGCTTTCTTTGATCCGCCCGTTCATCAATTTCACCACACACCGAAATGAACTTGTTTTATGTTGTTCTCATAAAATATTTGGAGCAATGTTCCATCATAGCTTGATTGATTAGATTTGGGCCTATATATTCAGATGCTTTATGGTGTGCTTTTGTTTCTTGGAATTTAGTATATACTTTTCATTGGTCTATGAACAACTGGTTATAAAGTGCATTTGAAAAAGCAACATGTACCAAACCATCTTCCCAAATTTGCAATTACAGTTGTTTATGAATCTGTTGCCAAAAAAAGACGAGCTTTAAGATCTCCCTGCAGTTTTCCGACCAAAAAAAAAAAGCATTATGGTTTAATGTTTGGAATCAAAAAACATTGTTAACATTGTCATTTTTATTATTTTCAATTTTTGTTGTTGTTGTTGTTAAATACACATTTTGTATTTACATCAATACAGTGTACAACAGTACAATAATATTATTGCATTTATTATATTTCTTTATTGATTTCATTTCATAGTTTAAATGGTGATACATTAAAAATAATATTTTAAACAACAACAACAATAATAATAATTATTATTATATTAATTTTGAATGGGGAAAGACCTGATGAACACCCAGTGAACACCCAATCTGTCCATGTTGTCATCTGCCTTATTTAGTTTGCCAAAATAATTTAGATTTTGATTGGATACGCATCTATTAACTAAACTTAAATGTTGACAATAAACTAAGATGTTTCTCATTGCTTTTAAAAGTATGTGAGTCTATTTATTTTGCTTTTTACATTGTATTTAGCATTTATTCTTCCCTCCAGTTCGTGACCCAATCAGAACAGACCTGCAGCCCACTTTTAGGTCGTGACGCACCAGTTGAGAACTACTGCTCTGTTTCATCCCATAGTCATCATATCTGAGGTCTCTAAAAAGGTCAAACATTCATAGTTCATGGACTTAACACATCCAGTACATTATGCAACTCATTGTATTATGCAACAAGCTTGTGTTGGTACAATGTATTCCACATTTGTAAATCACTATATCCTGAAGTTTTCTACAGTGTCTTCAATGATTCTGCAGCCTCATTCTCAGTTGGGTGCAGTTTTTTTTTTCAAGAGTTTGACCCTGATACAGTACCAGCTGCAGTAAATGTCCAAACACGATCATTTTTTCTTTTTTTCTTTTTTTTGTCTGGAGTGGAACTGAACCTCCAGTGTCAGTTTGTCCATCTGAAATGACATCACAAGGACTGCAGAAAGAGTGCAACAGATGAATTATGGGAGATGTTATTGAAGGTATCTATATAATACATATTGTGGTGGTACCGGACCCGTAGTGTGTGTGTGTTGTTGCTTGGTAAAGCAGTACAGTTAATTATATGTGACAGTTCTGCAGCAGATTGTGCCGAATCCCTGAACAAGTTATTTCACTCCTGCCATTCTTTTTCCTCAACATACATATACATAAATGCTTTCACATTATGGAGTGGATAGTGAACCAGTCGACATCACAATGGTTTCAGGCATGGTAATGGCTTTTTTCTCTTCCCCCCACTTTTTGCATAATATACCAGTCAGACTACAACGAGTGATTTATTTGAGGGCTTTTTAGTGTATCAAAACCATACAGCATGACCAGTCCAACCAATTCCAAACAAATTACTCTTATGAGATGGCTCATTTTAACCCACTCAAACACACATGCTTACAATGTTATATTGTAAAGGCATAGTTCATCCAGAAATGAAAATTCTGTCATCATTTACTCACCATCGTGTTGCAAAACACAAAATAAGGTATACTGAAGAATGTTCGTAATCAAAGAGTTTTTGTTACTGTTGACATTTTTGTAGAGTATGAAATTATACATTCAGAAACGGAATATCTTTTATGTTCTGCAGATGAAAGACAGTCATAGAGGTTTGGAACAAAATGGGAGCGAGTATATTATGACAGAAATTTCATTTTTAGGTGAATCATCTCTTTTAGGCTTGAGATATTTAAATCAGTGTACAGGTACTGATTGATTAACAAGTATATGTTTAGTAAGTATATAAGTATATATTAAAAAATATTAGTGCTGTCAAACGATTAATTGTGATTATTCGCATCCAAAATAAAAGTTGTTTACATAATATAAATAGAAATATTTTATATATAAATATACAATTTATCTTAAATATATACACAGTACACACGCATATATTATGTAAACACAAAATTTTATTTTGGATGCTATTAATCATTTTGACAGCACCAGGGCCGGTTCTAGACATTTGGAGGCCCCCCCACCCCCAGTAAAAAGCACTTGAATCAAATATGATTCCTAACCTTTTTATTTATACAACATTTCATTTTAAATTTTGTATATTTTTAGTAGTAAGTTTGGGCACATTACTATTTTTAATGTTTTTGAAAGAAGTCGCTTATGATCATCAAGTCTGCATTTTTTTGAAATACAGAAAGAACTAGAATACTATAAAACTTTTATTTTTTTTAATTAAAAAAAATAAACTGGTTTTCCATTTTTACCATACTTCAAAATGTCTGTTTCTGTAAGTCATAATAAATGACTTTTTAGCAATTTAGCACATCCTTATGAATGAAAGTATTTTGAACTTTTGAACAGTATTGTTACAAAAGATTTCTATTTTAAATAAATGCTTCTTTTTTTTTTACTTTTCTATTTCACAATATTACGTTTTTTTTCTGTATTTTTAATTAAATAAATGTATAGCTTGATGAGCATAAAATACTCTTCAAAAACATTACAAACTGTAATGTGTCCAAACATTTGACTGGTACGGTACGTATATTAATCAAACTTTATCTAAATCTCTTTTTTGTCTGTTGATGATGTTATTATAGTCGTGATATTATTATTATAGTTTTTATTTAATTTTTATTTATTTATTTTTTTTGCCAGTAATTTTTTTTCTGTAATTTATTCACAGTTCCTGAATACCACTTCAGTAAATGAACATCAGTGCTTTTATCATTTTTTTTCCCAAGCTGGGTATGGGCAGGATTTCCCCCTCCAATTTTACCAATATTAACTACAGATATTGTCATATTATTAATATGAATAAATATGATATTATGTATTGTATTACTACCTTAAATATGCACTATATAGCCTACACAAATCAAGTGTAAGTGAACGAGACGCTTCTAGTTAATTGAAACTGAAAGTGTTATGTTTAAAGCACAATTTAGAAGTTACACACATCTGACGTACTTTTTTTTAAAACATTAAAAATGGTCTAGTGTGTTTGCTTTTTGAATTTGAATACAAACGTTTTTGCTTTTACTTTTTTAGCTATTTTGCTAGTCAGCTACCGACGTGATGTCATTCATTGTACATTGTAATTCAAAGCATCACGTCATTTGTTTGATCATTTTATTTGCTAAAAAAAGAACCGCCTCAAAGAATCATTCATGAATCTGTTGGACTGGTCACACTGTATAGTTTTGATTCACTAAAAAGAACCGGCTCATAAAAATAATTTGTTTAATAATTATTTGGACTGTTCCCATTGTATGTTTTATTCACTAAAAAGAACTGACTCTTAAGAATCATTTATTCAGGAATCAGTTGGACTGGTCGCACTGTATGGTTTTAATTCATTAAAAATAACTCACTGGTTTGATGATCATTAACTATGATCATTCACTAGAAAGAACCTTCTAATACTAGTCATTTGTTCGTGAATTGGACTGCTCTTGTCGTTGTATGTTTTGCATTGTAGATTCAGTAGCAGTGTTTTTAAAATAATGAGAAATACTGAGGGTATTTTATTGCATTATCTTGTCCTCACCCAACTAAATTGGCCATCCGAACGTCATTCTCTCGAAATACATCACATTACAGAAGTCAAACGGGTTGTAAAGGCAGTTTCATATTGACATTTTTAAAGATAGATGTAAATGAACTTTAGCCAGACAGGAACTAGCGCACACACCGAAGCAGACTCGGATGGGAAAGGTGAACGGCTATCAGATGACAGAGCAGTATCTACCGCAGCAGAGGTGAGGAGAATACTGATTAGTCCAGCATTTCAGCCAGACAGGCCGAGCTCTGATGTTTATGGTTTTCCTGCTGAACTGCTGGCCAAGTGCAAAAGCAGCTCTTTCTCGTCCTCAGCTGGCCACTATTTATAGTAGGTGGCTCCAGCAAAGCTCCCCAGGTCTGTCTCTTGTGCAGCCCGCCTCTGGCTAAAGTTCAGCTTTATCAGCTCTTTTGGAGGGAAAATCTAATCTGTCAATATCCATTTGCACGTGCGCTCTAGAGTCAAGAGCCAGCACTTCCATCCTGTCCGCTCGTGCCTCTAATTGAATATCTCAGCATCTCCGCTGCTTCAAGACTATGTTAACACTCAATTAATTTCTTTGCTGCACAGAGTTCACAAAAAAGCAGAACAAAGTGGCTGCCATTGGTTCCCCTGCACAGCTTTTGCTCATCTTCTTGATAGAACTTGCCAGAAACATCCCCAGTTCCTGCTTTTATCCTCTGTTGTTTGTCGCTTCCAAACATCTGTTGCTTCCAAACATGCTGCGATCATGATAATTAATTGTGTTTCCTCTATATAATGTTTTGTGTACTGGGGCTGCATTCTCAGAAGTGTGAATCTCACCGCATGAATGAAATGAAGGCTTTTGTGCGGTGATGCACAAGTCTGTCTGCCTCTCGGGATGAGCCATGCCTTTGTTTTCCTGTCAGGTGTGGTTTGAATATTCATGCTGAACATGCGGTACAACCCCAAAACAGGAAGAAACAGGATGAGAAGTTCCCTCATGGAATGGACTACTAGATCACTTCTCACCTTCAGACAAAGCCACACAAGTGGGAAGTCGTGGCCTAATGGTTAGAGAGTCGGACTCGTAACCCAAAGGTTGTGAGTTCGAGTCTCAGGTCCGGCAGGGATTGTAGCTGGGGTAGAGTGAATCTACAGCACTCTCTCCCACCTTCAATACCATGACTGAGGTGCCCTTGAGCAAGGCACCGAACCCCCAACTGCTCCCCGGGCGCCACAGCATAAATGGCTGCCCACTGCTCCGGGTGTGTGTTCACGGTGTGTGTGTGTGTTCACTGCTGTGTGTGTGCACTAAGGATGGGTTAAATGCAGAGCACTAATTCCTAGTATGGTTACCATACTTGGCTACATGTCACGTCACTCACAAAGAAACGGGTTTGTAATCTCCATTGGAGTGAGTGGCGATGTGAAGCCGGAGCGCTGATCTGTAGTGACGCACTGTTCAGAAGTACATCTGCCAGGGCTGCTCCTGCACTCATCTACAGCTAATGCAGCACGGTATTGTGTATGCCAGTTGGCAGCGGGACAGGAAATTGGAAATTCATAGTGCAATCACTTGATGAATCTGCAGATGAACACAGGTGTGACTCTTTCTTAATAATTTAGCCCTGCTGATTTTATGTCAAATCGTTCAAAACGTTTTTGTATTAAAAAAATATCTCCGTGTGTATTAGTCTGTAAGGGATCAAAATACAACAAATTAAGCGGCCAAATAATGTCCAAGGAAGATATTGTGATTTTTTTATTGACTAATGTCTTATTTATTCGCTCCCATGTTATTCCAAACCAGTATGATGTTAATTTGGGCTAATTTTATGGTGCCTTTATGGAGCTTGACAGTAAAAATCGCCAACCACTTTCATTGTATAGAAAACAGTGGGTGCAGTTCCTTTGACCTCATGATTCTCATTTGCTCTGACATGCACTGTGAGCTGTAAGGTCTTATATAGACAGGTGTGTGGCTTTCCTAATCAAGTCCAATCAGTATAATCAAACACAGCTGGACTCAAATGAAGGTGTAGAACCATCTCAAGGATGATCAGAAGAAATGGACAGCACCTGAGTTAAATATATGAGTGTCACAGCAAAGGGTCTGAATACTTAGGACCATGTGATATTTCAGTTTTTCTTTTTTAATAAATCTGCAAAAATGTCAACAATTCTGTGTTTTTCTGTCAATATGGGGTGCTGTGTGTACATTAATGAGGAAAAAAAATTAACTTAAATGATTTTAGCAAATGGCTGCAATATAACAAAGAGTGAAAAATTTAAGGGGGTCTGAATACTTTCCGTACCCACTGTATATAGGGTAAATAATTCAAATTTAAAATTAGCTTCTATTTTTTCTATTTAAGTTTTAAATTTTAGTAATTTTGTAATGTTTTGTTTATATTTCTATTTAGCTTTCATTTATATTTTTTAGTTTTAGTTCAGTTAGTACTTAAATTTATTTTATTTTATTTTGATGCCATGGCAATATTTCTAAATTTTCCATTTACCTTTTCATTTAATATTTATTTTATTTTATTTTATTGTATTTCAGCTTTGTTTCATTTAATGAAAATCATTTTTATTCATTTTAGTTTATTTTAGTACAATTTCATTTTAGTTATTTATATTTTATTTAATTCATTTAACTTTATTTAACTAATTTTATTTTATTTCAGCTTAATTTATTTACTGAAAATGCTTTTCTATAGTTGTAGTTTTAGTTAATTACAATACGGATGGAAAACAGCAGCTCAGGCATTCTGCCAAATATCTCCTTTTGGATTTCACAAAAAAAAAAAAAAATCATACGGTTTAGAATGACATGAAGATAAGAAAATAATGGCAGCATGTTCATTTTTTTGAGGTAACTATTCCTGAAAATATTTAAAAAATGGCACCAGCTATCAAGATGAGAAGGCTTTGGTGAGTTGATGTCAGATCGTGTTGTTTTTCCATAGCGTTTAGTAACATGCAGCTTTTTGTAGTGTGGTCTCAGATCTTCTAATGAGCTTGGCTGGCTTTAATTGACTTTAGTGTAGAACAGCAAAGCTCTGTTGATAAAGATTTACTCATACCACTCAGTCTGTTTAGCTGTCTGAAGAGTGATTCATTCTCCGGCTCCCTTAAGTATTGATTTTTCAAATACAGTGTTATGGATTCGGTGCCTCCTGTTTGTTCATTTATCCTCCAAATGATCTCATGGGCTGACACTAAGCTGTTTTGGTGTGACTTAACACTGAAT